TTCAGCTAAAAGACACACCACCACTCACGGACAAGCCTCTGGTCTCCAACTACGCCTCCAACCAGACAAACTGGACGCCGCCGTCATGTCTCTACTAGAGAAACAGGCAGTCAAGGAGATAAAACAGCAGGAGGACGTCACGCCAGGGTTTTACTCCCCAATATTCCTCGTACCAAAGAAAAACTCCAGGGAATAGTTCTGACTGATATACAACATGAATTTCTACGCAGTCCAACACAGTTCAAGATGATACATCTACCTCAACTGTGACGACTCATCCGTCCACTAGACTACCTCGCAAGTATAGATCTACAGGATGCGTACCTACACATCCCCATAGATCCAGAATCAAGGAAATACCTAAGATTCCTCTTCAAAGGATGGCACTTCCAATGGAGGGTTCTACCTTTTGGAATATCATCGGTCCCCTGGTTGTTTACTCGAGTGACGAAGCCCATAGTCGCATACCTACATCGTCAAAGTCTACGCAGTGATTTTTACCTGGATGACGGTATACAGGCCCATCCAGATCCCAGTCAACTCAGACTACAACTAGACTTCACGATCCTCACTCAACTCGGATAGCTGGTAAACTTCCTCAAATCGGACCTGGAACTCCAACAGGATCTCCAATTCCTAGGAATACGGCTCATCACATCCATGAATCGCATAGTTGTCTCTCAAGATCGCTGGATCAAGATACAGCAGATGATATCTCAAGAGTTACCACTACGAGAATGGCAAAGTCTACTAGGTCTCCTCACCTCAACTCAAGACATGACTCGCAGAGGCCGACTACAACTACGACCACTACAGATGTTTGTGAACGCACATCTCAATGACCTCCAACCCTTCGGGCCGACGGACGATTTGAAACCATACCTACTATGGTTGACTCAGAAGTGGAATCTTTGCGGAGGAACTTATTTACGTGAGCTGGTTTGCACCAAGCACCCCTTCGCAGATGCATCGCTACAAGGATGGGGCACACACCTCGACAACGAAGTGGCAGCAGGGAAATGGTCGAGTCAAGAAAGGAATCTACACATCAACATGCTAGAGATGAAAGCAGTAATCAACGCCTTTAACCCACTGGTCCAGGGTTCTCAAGAACGCACAACTGATATTCCACACGGACAAATCCACATTAGCGTTCTACATAAACAGACAAGGCTCAACAAGATCTCGCAATCTGCTCCAACTCTGCTTCCATCTGTTCAACGTGGTCGACGATCTGAACATCCACATAAAAGCATGTCACATTCCAGGAGCCCAGAATATCATAGCAGATGCTCTATCGCGACCGCTACAGCCATCCCCGACAGAATGGATGTTACATCCAGATGCGTTCCGATGCATCATACAGGGAATAACGTCACCGACAATCGACTTGTTTGCGACCAAGTTGAACAAACAACTACCAACATTCGTCTAACCGATTCCCGATCCACAAGCCTGGGCAACAGACGCTCTAAGCATCTCTTGGGAAGGACTCCACCCCCAACTTTACTACCACAAGTGCTACAGAAAATCAGCCAGACAAAGAGCCTACAACTGATTTTGGTCGCGCCTTATTGGCCAGCGAGAGCCTGGTTCCCCGTCCTCATAAACGAACACGGAAAACCAACAGTGAAACTGCCCGATTGGCCGAATCTACTCGTCCATCCTCACACCAAACAAGCTCACGGCAACCCCACAGTGTTCCAGCTACAGGCCTGGAACGTATCACGACTTGTTTGAAGAAAAGAGGCTATTCCACCAGGGCAGCGACAGCAGTGACACTAGCTCTACGCAGATCTACTCGCACATTATATGATGACAAATGGCGGAAATTTGAGCTCTACGCAACGAGGAAAGGCTTCACAGTGATGAAAGATATTCATCCTCAAGTGGCGGAATATCTATGTCTTCAACGTCAGACGAGACATCTGAAAGGCTCAACACTGTCCACCTACTTAGCGGCCCTTAGCACGGTTATCACCATGAAAACGGGAATCAAGCTAACTAAAGTTCCAGAGATACTGGCACTACTACGCTCCTTGAAGTTGGAAGATCAACAGCATAAATTCAAGGCTCCAGCTTGGGATCTCAACGTAGTCTAGCAGCATCTCACCAGCGACGCCTACGAACCTTTAGACAGGACATCCTTCGAGTTGCTAACTCATAAGACGCTATTCCTCATCGCCCTCGCAACAGCGGCACGGATGTCAGAAATACATGCTCTGGACTTTGAACGAACACGCTTCGAATCAAGTCATTGTGACACAGTACACATAGGACTGAGATGGGACTTCATAGTGAAGAATCAACTGCCTAGTTAACCTGATAGACAGTTCCACATCCCAGCATTATCTACAGTCCTGGGCCCACAGGATACACAAGACCTATCCTTATGCCCTGTCAGAATTATCTACAAAGGTCAAAGACGAGGAGACGAAAATTCAAGTGCCTTTTCATCCCTATATCTACGAAGACGTAGGCTGAAGCCTCACGTACGACAATATCAATCTGGATGAGAGCCATCATCCTAAGAGCCTACAAAGCAGCCGGACTAGAGCCTCCACAAGCCTCCAATCCCCATGAAGTTAGAGCCTTTGTGTCTACACTTGCTCTACATGGAAACTGCTCCATCGCTACAATCATGGAGGGCTGGTTTTGGAAGTCGGACACGGTGTTTGCCAACCACTACCTCAGAGACATCGCCAGCGAGGACGTCCTAGGCATTCACCAGTTTGGTCCACTTGTTGTAGCACAACAATTGGCGCTGAGATAAATCTCACCCTTTATCACGTGACTTGAGAAAGCCCACACTCGAAAGAGTAAGAGCTTAAGTCCTTGCGCACGTTTAGAACAGGCTAGCATGAGTGATTAGACCCGGTACTTGTAAGGACTTACTCGTACATGGAGGAAGGGTCAATGCTCCACTTGATGCCAGCATCAAATATATAGTTCCCATGGGGGATATTCAGGATGTACATCACCAGCCATTGAATCCAGAGGCGGCTTGACCCACCACCTACTTCCGTTGGATTCTACAAGCAAAAAAGCATGAGTCAGGATAAGGAAAAATATGTAATTTTCTGACTAAAATTGATATTTTATACTTATCCTGACTTATGAGGTTAAGCCCTCCCAACCTCCCCTCAGGGCACTCTGGATTTCACTGTAGATTCAGGTGTCAGGCTCAAAAGAACAGAGAGAGTGACAAGACAGGCCGGGTCATGTGACCACAAAGCCCGGGAAAATACAGACAAGGGAGGCTACTCGTGGTGATTTTACGTCCGCTTTTATGAAGGGAGCTTCAAAAAGGGATTCAAGTGTTTCCACTATCGTTCGCAAGAGAAAGAGAGCAAGCAAACAGGCCTGACTCAGGATAAGTATAAAATATCAATTTTAATCAGAAAATTACATTTTTGTAAAAAAAATGCCATAAAAAACTGATGCAGTTTCCAATTAGTTTCCTGAGCCTATCGATAATCGTAAAAATGGAAACATAAAATTATATTTTAGAAAGTATGTTTGTTATTGTTATGTTTGTTAAATCAAAGCAAAAATAACTGATGCAGTTTCCTGTCTCGTGAAGATGCAATGTAAACAACCTATTCGCATGCCTCAACAGGAATTAGCCTCGATAGTCTTGATCATAGTTCATTTTTTTTAATCAGTAAGTGTTTTGTTTGCACAATATTATATAATTCTGTCCCCTTATTGCCCACATAAGTTTTCTGGTTTATGATTACAGCTATAAGTGAAGCCAGATTTTTATTAATGTTCCGTAATGCCCTTGATAATCAGTCCTTCTATAAATAACACAGCTCGTCATTCGTTCTTGGTACCTCTTTTCATTTTGTTCTTTGAGTCCATTATCCACATGCTAATATGGAATGACACGGCCCAAAATTCTTGATTCTGATTCCAGATCATTAATTGTAACTTGATACTGTAAATTACGAATTTTTGGCGTCACAATATTTTTGCGAGTACCGACCAACAGACGTTTTTGCGTCATGATATTTTTGCGACTTGCCTAATTCTCAAAAATACATTGCCAGTGAAAGTTCTACCTAATGTAAATCCAATCACATATTAAAGGTTGTCGCTAATTTTGAACTGAGCTCATTAGAGTACCTCCGTATGTAGGCAGTCAGTGGTGTTTTCCTAAAAACAACACATGCTGCACAGGCCAGATCAAAGTGATTATATTAATTCGAATGCCTCTATCAAATTGTTGACACTTATAATTACATCACCAAAGCTGTTGATCTCCAGAAAAACCTATTGTCTCCAGCGGTCTCCAAAGAAACAGAATATGTGTTGAGTAGTTGATACCTGTCTGGAGTATCAGACATACTGATTGAGTAACTTTTGTTCGAGTATCCCTTGTCTGACATGTGATATGTGAGTACTACTAACGATAGTAATTAGTTGCCACCAAATTCTAAACATGGGTCTGTCGGTCGGGAGATTATTACAATTTCTCGCGTTCTTTGGACTTCTGGCAGCAACTGATTAAAACATTTTAAATAGATAAACATTTTATATGACGAGGTGGTATGTTTTAGGTAGGAGTTGGTGGTGTTAGAATGAAAAAAGAGGTTCTTTAGGGGTCGGTAATAAAATTAGAAGGGTCGGTCGGGTAATGAAAAACACAAACAATAAAAATGCTTCCCTTACAGATGGCTTCCAGAGACATTTGCAGTTAATTTGATTATTGATAAGGTTGAGAATAACCAACTCAAAACTGGAATTACAGTTTATCTTTCTCTTTGGAATAGATATGTGTTTCTGTACAGTTGGTAACATTTTGTTTGGCAGTGGGGTAGCCTAGTGGTTAGAGCGTTCACTCGTCACACTGAAGGCCCGCCTGGGTTTGATTCCCCAAATTGGTACAATGTTTGTAACCAATTTCCAGTGTCCCCCAAAAGTGGCGTAAAACTAAGCTCACCTACTAACTCACTGTGACTTAGATGACCTCGTTTGATAGTTGGACTTTGTTCTAGGAAAATGTCCGACCGGGATGGTGGGAGAAGTTCGTGGGGCCAGGATGTGCTGTGGACACCAACAAGTTCTTCGTCATCTGCACCAACAATCTGGGAGGTTGCTATGGCACTTTCATGAGCTTACATCCTCTATAGGTACCAGTACTGATCAGGAACATAGATAAATGTCAAGATCAAAACTGGTTTCAGCCCGCCCATGATGAAATTTATGTACAAAGTAAGTGACCCATCCCTGCATGTCATGTACACAGTCAATGACCCCCTCTCCCCTTTCCATAATTTTTTAGCATATTTAAAAAATATTTTTATGTACAAAATTGATGACCTCCCCTAGTACATGTGTACAAATTGATGCCCCCCCTGCCTCCCCAGAACAAAATGTGTGATCCCCCCTTAAAATCATCATAACAACCCCCCTAGCCATAAATTATGAACGGTCCCTAATAATGTCTATTTGTTTAGTCGTTTCACATTACATCTGTAACAAAACATGGTATATATGTATTGGGTTTTCCACTGCAGTGGCCCATCATCAGTGAATCCAGTCACGGACAAGGCAAGTGATATCTAGTGTCAAGTCTTCTGTAGGGACTGAGGGACTGGTCATTTATTGTGGGAAATAGTAGTGGGATTTGTCTCAGGGATGTTTCATATTTGGCCACTCCTCCCCGCATCACATACTTTATGACCACACATAATTTAAATTTGGTGAACAAGTTTCATAAATAATGACCTGTGGATATTCCTAACAGATTTCAACAGTCAGTAGGAGTTTGCTGTAATGCATTACTCATGGAAATTCAGTGCTATTCTGGATTCCCAAACTAGACAGTTTCCTAAAGAAGATAATTAGGCATTGCTTGTACAACATCTTCAGGCGAGAGGACTGTTGATATTTCAGAAAATAGTTTTTGTGATTGAACTGGTTCTTAGGGATTAAACTTGCCACATCTATCATAGTTACCATTGAAACGGTAACAGAATATTTGGAAGAATGTTGATGCAGTACCAGTCAGGAGCAAGTATTTAGCTAATGGATATTGGGACTAATTTAATCAGGTTATGTACTGATATGTCAGTATCAAAATTGTTTACTTATCCTTATTTGCATTATTTCTACACATTCATAATGGCCAGCCTTGTCTTTGCAGCCGTACGGAACAACATTCCCCATTGTCAGCGTAGAGGATATGGTCAACGCTCAGATGCTTCTAATGGACCATCTTGGCATCCAGAAGGTGAGTTGACAGACTCGGCATCCTGAGTGTAACAAAAACGACAAGGTTCAAATCTCATTCATTGATTATGGAAATAAGTTGAATTTTTCCTTATCCTGACTCATGCTTTTTTGCTTGCTCTCTTTCTCTTTGCGAACGATAGTGGAAACACTTGAATCCCTTTTTGAAGCTCCCTTCACAAAAGCGGACGTAAAATCACTCATCACGAGTAGCCTCCCTTGCTCCTTTCCCGGGCTTCTCGTCACATGACCACCATGTTCTTGTCACTCTCGCCTTTTTCGCCCAAGTGGGCGGTTGTGAGAGCACCTTAGTCCCGATACGACATTATATCCTTTTCTCATTGAACCTGTACTGCAAATTCTAGCTGTATACGGCTTTAAGGAGATTATACCAGCAATATGGTTTAAAGATTTTGTCCTAAATTTCTAGATTTCACGTTGTTTGGCATCGTGTTTTCAATTCATGAAAACTTGCATTCATTGTAGGTTACGGTTGTCTGAGGTTTATCCTCATACATTATGTCCTTATTCGCTGTCAGTTTTGTCAGCATTTATCTGAATTTGAATTCAATAATTATCTATTTTTCCGTCCAAAGGACTGGCATAAGAGACATTCACAAGTCATGTCTAAATCGAGTGATTGCGTTGATAACCGTTCATTAACCACTGCTATTGAAGTTCACCATTCCAGTGTGTTACCGGACTGGAAGAGGTCTTCCTCATCGGACATACCCTCTTCGCAGACGAAGAAAACCAGGTCATCGTCTATGCAGAAAAAGAAGGTGTCAGCAGCCAAGACTTCATCGAAGTCTACTCCCCCGAGATCCTTCACCGTTGAGATCGTCATACCAGAGGTTGCAGTGGTCAGCAAGAAGAGGTCTTCTTCTCTCTTCTTCTTCTTTACTACGACGTCAGCAGCCTTATCAATGCAGATACTGACTGATGGCTCGATATCAATGCAGACACGACGCAGTTGTTCATTACAAGCCTCAGATGCGACTTCAACGCAGAAGCAGTCAGCACAGAACTTCAACCTGGCCTCTTCATGCAGCAGTTCACAGAACAGATGATGCAGCTAATGGAACAACGCTTCACGCAGGAGAAAGCTGCTGCGACGACATCGACGACAGCCCTGCATGAAGGACCAGAAGTCTGCACATTGCATCCCAATAAAGTACACCTACACGAAGGAGCAAGCCTGCACGAAGGATCCAGTACCAGACGATCATCCACGGCACTTTCTAGAGACGTAGCCAACCTAAACACAATGATGTACCTGCACGCAGGAGCAGACACCGTCGAAGCCGATCAACCAACTCATCTGCACCTTCAGACGTGGATCTTCAGGAACCTGCGCGCAGGCACTCCTCTTCACGAAGACAGAGGACTACATCAAGACAGCCACTCGCCTGCATGCAGGTCTTCAGGAAGATCGCCACGCAGGTCTCCACACAGGGCTACACACGAGTCTCCATGCAGATCTTCAAGCAGATCTCCACGAAGGTCTCTATGCAGGTCTCCACGCAAGGCTAAACACAGGTCTCCACGCAGATCTTCAAGCAGATCTCAACGAAGGTCTCCACGCAGATCTTCAAGCAGATCTCCACGAAGGTCTCCATGCAGGTCTCCATGCAGATCTCCAAGCAGGCCTTCACGCCAGCTTATTACAACCATTGCCTGAGCGAAGGTCTTCAGACAAGTCTCCACGCAGGTCTCCAGGCAGGTCTTCACGCAAAGTCTTCACATCAGCGATGATCATCAGAACGCACCTGCATGAATACCTACGCAAAGGCCCACGTCTCACAGAGGAGAGATTACGTCAATCATCCTTCGTGACCTAGACAGATATCTCAAGACTGCAAGAAGGATACGCGGTCACTCAGGGACCGTTCACTTACACGCAGCTCTACGTACAGATCTACACACAGTGACTCACGTCATTATAGATGCTCAGATAGGAAATTGTCCAACTGCATCGCCTGAAGTTAGAAGTTTTGAAAATTCTACTAACGTCAGCTCAGCAGAACTGCCCCCTCTGATGACAGTCGCCCTGCGCGAAGGAATATTAGCTATGAAGACAAGCTCTCTCGTATGAAGGCCTCGCGAAGATCCTTTACAGTCAGAAGTATTAACAGTTAGAAGCCTGGAGGATTGAACGAATGGCAGTTGGCGTTATCAGTCCACAATAGACTTCAACGCAGTTCAGCATCTCAGTAGGAAGGATTCTACCATAGAAGCAGATCCAGTCGTTCTCCAGTATTCTTCACGAAAGTGCATGCCGTTCAACGCTAGCAGATTTTCCCTTCATCATACGGAGTCCTTCATGATATCTTCAGGGTTTGAGATTATAAGATCATCAATTAACCCCGTAATAGATCTTTCAAGGTGAAAGATAAGAAGATAACGCAACTGGACACTACAACTACATTGTACATTTGAAGAATACAGTCACAACAGACAGGGGTGCAGTCTGCCTACATCAATACTACGCGTCGCAGTTTTTGCGCACTTCCACTACAGCCGTCTATACACGTGTTCACTCGTGTAACTTCGGCGGACAAAGCCGAGGGTTGATGAAGAAATCAACGACTGCACAAGATTCTACGAGAATCATCTACCTGCCACACCGGTGACGTCACACGGCCTGCGCACAAACTCACATCTGAAATCTGATTGGTCCATGAGACACACCCTTTGCAGAACTCGGTCAGTCACGTGCCAGGAAGTCGTGTACAATTGACGGTTCCACAAGGGCGCTGAGATAAATTTCACCCCTTTATCACGTGACTTGAGAAAGCCTCCACTCGAGAGAGTAAGAGCTTAAGTCCATGCGCATGTCTAGGACAGGCTAGCATGAGTGATTAGACCCAGTACTTGTAAGGACTACTCGTACACGGAGAAGGGTCAATGCTCCACTTGATGCCAGCATCAAAAGATGGAGCTACAGAAAAAACCACACCTCAAGTCACGAGATGTTTGGAACAAGACAAGCTGTGGTCTCCTCCCCAACCCCCAACCCCTCCCCGACTCATCAGAGAACAATACTCGCTCCGTTACCACTACAAGAGTGGCAGTATCTTCTTGGCCTCCTCACCTCAGTTCAAAGACATGATTCGTAGAGGACGACTACAACTGCGGCCACTACAATGTTTACGAACGCCCATGTCAACAATCTGGAACCCTTCGGGTTACCGGACAGTTTGAAACCATATCTGCTATAGTGGACTCGGAAGTCGAATGTCTGCGGAGGAACCTACTTACTAGAGCCGGATTACAACAATCATTTCTACGTCGATGCATCACTTCAAGGATGGGGTGCTCACCTCGACAACGGAATGGCAACGGGGAATTGGTCGAGTCACGAGCAGAGTCTGCACACCAACATGCTAGAAATGAAAGCAGTAATCAAAGCCTTACTACATTGGTCCAATGTACTAAAGAACGCACGGCTGATGATCCATACAGACAACTCCACAAGTAACGTTCTACAACAACAGGCAAGGATCAACAAGATTAACCAATCTTCTAGATCTCAGTTTTCATCTGTTCAGTATCATCGACGACCTGAACATCTACATAAAGGCATGCCATTCCAGGCAAGAATGTCATAGCAGACGCACTATCTCGTCCATTACAACCATCCCTGATGGAATAGATGTTACATCCAGAAGAATTCTGATGCATCATACAGACGATAGGATCTCCGGTGATAGACCTGTTTGATACAAACAGTTAACACCATTCGTCTCGCCGCTTCCCGATCCACAAGCCTGGGCAACAGACGCTTTAAGCATCTCTTGGGAAGGACTAAACACTTACGTGTTTCCACCCCAGCATTAATACCACAAGAGTGCTACAGAAAATCAGGCAGATGAAGAGACTGCAACTGATTTTGGTAGTGCCCTATTGGACAGCGAGGGTCTGGTCTCCCGTCTTCATAACGAACTCGGCAGTCCAACTTTAGCACTACCAGAGTGGCCGAAACTACTCGTCCATCCTCACACCAAAAAAGTTCACGGGAACCCCAAAGTGTTCCAGCTACACGCCTGGAGCGTATCACAATTTGGTTGAAGAAAAGAGGGTATTCCGCCTGAGCAGCGAAAGCAGTGACACTAGCTCTACGCAGGTCAACTCGCAACTTATATGATGACAAATGGCAGGAATTTGAACGTTATGCATCGAGGAAAGGCTTCACAGCGGTGACAGCAACTCATCCTCTAGTGGCGGAATACTTATGTCATCTATGACAGACGAGGCATTTGAAAGGTTCAACGCTTTCTACATACCCAGCGGCCCTCAGCACGGTGATCACCATGGAACGTGAATCAAACGGACCACAGTACCAGAGATACTGGCACTACTGCGTTCCTTCAAGTTGGAAGACCAACAACGGAGCTTCAAGGCTCCTGTTTGGGATCTCAACGTAGTCTTGCAGCATCTCACCAGCGACGCCTACGAACCTTTAAGACCGGACATCCTTTGAGTTTTTTAACACATAAAACTCTGTTCCTGATTGCCTTGGCAACAGCGACACAGATGTCAGAAATACATGCTTCGAATCAAGTCATCGTGACATAGTACACTTAGGACTGAGATGGGACTTCATAGCGAAGAATCAACTGCCCAGTCAACCTGACAGACAGTTCCACATCCCAGCATTATCTACAGTCCTGGGCCCACATGATACACATGACCTATCCTTATGCCTTGTCAGAGCATTGAAAGTATATCTACAAAGGTCAAAGACGAGGAGACGAAAATTCAAGTGCCTTTTCATCCCTCTATCTATGAAGATACAGACTGAAGTCTCACGTACCGGAATATCAAGCTGGAAGAAAAAAGGACATGTACCATATAAAGTTCCCATGGGGGGTATGCAGGACGTAAATCATCAACCGTTGAATCCAGAGGTGGCTTGACCCACCACCTGCTTCCGTTGGATTCTACAAGCAAAAAAGCATGAGTCAGGGTAAGGAAAAATATGTAATTTTCTGACTAAAATTGATATTTTATACTTATCCTGACTTATGAGGTTAAGTCCTCCCAACCTCCCCTCAGGGCACTCTGGATTCACCGTAGATCCAGATTTCGGGCTCAAAGAACGGAGAGAGTGACAAGAACATGGTGGTCATGTGACGAGAAGCCGGGGAAAGGAGCAAGGGAGGTTACTCGTGATGAGTGATTTTACGTCCGCTTTTGTGAAGGGAGCTTCAAAAAGGGATTCAAGTGTTTCCACTATCGTTCGCAAAGAGAAAGAGAGCAAGCAAAAAAGCATGAATCAGGATAAGTATAAAATATCAATTTTAGTCAGAAAATTACATTTTCGAGTTAAAAGTTGATGATAAGTTTTTATTGTTTTTCAGTATACTTAACATCTTCTAACAAGTATTAGCATTTTGTTTTTCCTTTACTGGTAATTCTCATCATCACATGTAAAATGCTGATGCTGTGAATATACAATGCCGTCTAGAAAGATATCAAATAAAATATTTGGGATAATACAGATTCTAGTGCTTTTGGGGTTGAATCCTACAAGGTAAACCACACTCAGATTGTGGCAGCAGCCCTTGAGGTCAACGATGGAACCCTCTCAGCTACACAAATTCAAATCTGAAAACTTATAGCCTAGATCACAAACTTTGTGCTGAGAGTATGGGTCAAAGATGAGACAACCCAAAAGTACAAGTTTTGTTTTTCACTAAGAATATCACACTGTACCGGCGTCCAGTTGACTTTCAAATGTTATTTGTGTTGTTTATTTGAAAAATTCAACAAGAAAACGGCCGGTATAGTGTAAAAATTATCAGGGCAAGTGATTTCACATGTGCCACTGTACCGGAGTACACTAGCAATTTTAGAGTTATTTCCGCCCCTGAGTAGGTGGTTTTAGTTGATGAGTGGTGTCCAGTATCCTTAATAGCAATGAATCAGAATCACCCAAACACAAATATAAATGTCCAGCTGTCATACGTGAAATAGGTTAAGTTAAATTCTGTTTGTTAAAATTCGTTATTACTGAAGTGCCCACACCTCCCAACCACCTAATCCTTTGCTCCTACCAGCCAGTTTGACGTCTATCCTGCCAAGGTCAAGGTCAGCTTAAGTCGGTTAGATAGGTCTGTGGCCAACCATGCCTGAGGCGATTAACGGAATCGGGTAGTCAGTCTCACAGACTTGGCTGAATCATGTCATCATATCCTGGTTGCAAAGACAGATGCTCACAGGATTGTCTGGTTCAAACTAAGTTATTTATAGATCACCATCATTTAGCTAAAGATTGCTGAGCAGAGTGTTAATTAACAAACAAACAAAAAAGGTTCTAAGGACCTAAGGTCAGATAATAAAACATGGGGCAAGTTTCTTTGAGAATGACTGAACTTTGGTTGTTGACAGTTACAAAAAAATGTCCTTTACTTGTTTAAAATCCATAGTATCTATAGCTAAAGTTTATCTTACTATTTGGAAAATAACTGCTAAGGTCAACAGTGACAATATCTTTCTGAGCAAGCAAATGCCAAGTTTCAAGGGTAACAATATTTCCTGTTTAATCTGATAAATTATTTCATCTTATAAAAGGACAAGATTACATATATTTTGTAATGTTTAAATATTTTATTTAATGCACATGTAGAAAGTCAGAATGTTTACCAGCCATGATTGTATGTTGGTCAGGTTGATTTCGAAATCTTCCTGTGCTCAGTCCCATCCTTCCGCCATCGCCTTCCGCTACCTCCAGCGAAAGTGCATCATGAGTGACCACAACTGGAACAAAGGTCACTACTACGACGGAGATTTCCCCAAGATCGGAATGAAACTGGCCAGGTGAGCAATAGCCATGACCATTAGAAAGCTGGGTTTTTTTTAAATAATTTACAATGGTGGCGAGAATGACGTCAAAATCATGTGCTTACTCAGATCCTATTACAGGTATACTGCAATCAGCCTTGCAAAGAATTTTTAAAATATAATTTACATGGAAATTATTCTCAAATGATGTTTCTCTTCAAAATTGAAATGCATACTTTGACATCATAATATTTACTTCAGTATGTGGATTAACCAATCAGTGATGATCTCTGTCAAACACTTTAGCAACCGATATATCGTAATATGTATCGCAACACTGATACCTGTTTCAAACTATTATGATTCAGTAACATCGATCTTGCAATAGCTTAACTTTGTGGTGTGTTATTTTCTCAGGGAAATTGCCACCCTGACCTATCGCAGTGGTCCCGAGTGGGACCAGAGGTTTGGGCGTGGTCGTATCAACGACAGAGATCCCCCGTCTCTGTGCCCCACGTTCCACATAGAAAGCTACCTGGAGCATCAAGGGAGAAAGCTTCAGCAACAAGTTCGACCCTAATTCTCTCCTGTATATGTCAAAGGTTGGTACTTGTTTGTAGGGGATACAGTTTGAGCCTGTTTAGGAAATGAAGAATAGCAGTGGTTTATAGTGTGAACTGTGTAATAGGGGTGTATTGGTGGATAATGGTTCCTCATTGGTGGTCCTGGGATATTCAGGGAGATGGAGCTAGGTGATTATGATAAAGACCCGGGTTCGATTCCCCACATGGGTACAAGCCCATTTCCAGTGTCTGCCGCCGCAGTGATATTGCTAAAAGAACTCACTCACTCACTCACTTTTGCTTTAGTCTTAACCAAACACTGAAGACTTGACAAACTTTCATAGTTGTTTCAAAGGTTTATTCTGTCAGCCATTGCCTTTGCCCAGCCCTGGATGACCAGAGTCCTCATTGCTGTGTTCAGTGGGAGTAATCATTGTAACAAGCTGCAGAAACATAAGCTGCTTTTTAATTTCTTCAGTAAATATATATACCAATCAAACTGATATCAAGTCACAAATGTATGGTTCATTTCAGGCAATGGATCTGTTTGATGTATCTGAGGGCTTTGATTCATTAGAGGTGGGGCTATCTCAAGTGACCTGTCCAGCGATGGTCATTGGCGTCCAGACCGACATCTTGTTCCCCATATGGGAACAGCGCAAACTGGCCCAGGTGTTACAGGCTGCAGGTAGGATGGGGAGCCATGTGTTACAGGATGCAGGTAGGATGGGGAGCCATGTGTTACAGGCTGCAGGTAGGATGGGGAGCCAGGTGTTACAGATGCAGGTAGGATAGTGAGGATATCAGTACCATAGTAACTATAACAAGTACCCTGAAGAAAATTGACAAAAGTTTGCACTGTTTATAATATAAACAAGCTCAAAATTGTTGGATGAGATAAAGCTGAAGAGAATAGATTTAGTTCAACTGTCCAAGAAACTGAACTTTTTTCAATACTCCTGCATTTCTGCATCATGGATAATAATTTCCAGGCATATTTTTTCAGATGCTTATAAAAATAGGTTGCAGGCTTGTGTTACTTAAGGAGCACTTGCAGGGTTGGGTATTTAGTAGGGCAAATATTGTATGTCAAGACCTTGCCTGAATGGGCTTCAGACAGTGAAGCATAGTTCGTCTGAGGATTTCGATGGATCGGTCCCACTTTCAGTCCAGGACCAGGGGTGATAACTCATATTGTCTTTTTTCTATTAGTATGTTTCCAACATAGGAGAGTGACAGATTTAGATTCTAAGAAAATAAGTCCAAATGTTGATTGTGTGGTTATGTCTGTTGTGCACTTCAGGCTTTGTGACGCCGGTATTCTAGGTGTGTTTTGGTGACTGTCAGTGTCCTTTTGAAATAAGTGTTGTGTCATTCTAATGTTAGCACTAATCTTTTACAGGTAACGATGTAGTTACCTTTTACGAACTCAACTCCATGTACGGGCATGACACATTCCTCCTAGATCTGAACGGCGTTGGCACTGCAGTGAAGGTAAGCAACTGGAGCTGGCTTCACATTCACTACGATCACTACTACGACTATAGTAGATAGAATACATCCGCAGTAACATGTTCTTTTCATAGGAACTTCATTTTGATCAGGACGATGGAGTTACATACATCAAATTTGCAGCAAATGTCAATGGAAAAATTAAAATTTAAATAACAAATTTTCCTATTCATGTTAATATTGTTACAATCAGGATGGTGACTTTATTGAGGAATATATTTTAACTCATAAAAAACCCTAAAAGAGGAACATGATTTCATTTTGATATAATGCTATTGTAATGAGATATAAAGCTATTGTAATGAGATATAATGCTATTGTAATGAGATATAATGTTATTGTAATGAGATGTTATTGCATTGAATGCCTTGCTGAAGTACAATGTTAAAATATCCTGAAATTAAGATAATAATAACTTTAAAAGGTACCAATTTTAAAATCAAGACAATAGTTTTTACCAATTTACTTGTGTCATCCACTGCTTGCAGGGCTTCCTGGAGACGGACATGTCTGAGAGAGGAATACTGGCCAAGGAAGCAGTCAAGAGGAAGGTTTCCATGAAGACCAATGTCAAGCTGGATTCTTGAACCCAGAGAATCCAAAACCAGGAATGCTATTGTCCAGAAATATTGTAATATAAGGAATATATCAAGTGATGCCTTTTACCATTTACAAGGTTTCCATAAACAGTTGTGTATTGTCAGGAATAAGACTAGACCTACAAGTCTCTCCCAAAAAAGCCTAGCAAGTTAATTCGAGCTTTGCTTGTTCCAACTTAGACATCATCAGTGATTTCACTTTTGTGCATTCTAAATTTTGAAATGATTTTACTTGGAACCATGATCTTAATATTTCCCCAAATGGAGTGAGTTGTCCTGTGAATATGATATCAGTAGTCACAGTCCTCTGAAGTTGATGACGTTGCTTGATCTTCCTCGGTATTTATCCAGAAAGTATTTCAATGACAGCTGCTTTTCTAAGGTGGCTGTATCAGTTAACATTTGTTTGTTACTTATCCAAGTGGGTCTATAGTTGGATCGTTTTCTACAGTCCGTTTGAGACCAAGTGAGAGAAAATGAAATTTGCTCCCGAAGTTAAGTCTATAAGTTACAAAGTCTATGATTTCTTCAAGGATGAAAATGACAGGGGAGACCCAATTATGCAACTACTAAGTACATCCAGCGCACTGCCTGTGCAGTTGGGGTGTCATCTCGCCAGCTCAAAAGTTTGTTGCAGGCGCATCTCGCTTTTCGCGCTGTTCCTTTGGTTGCCACTGCTCCCTTGTAACAATCTGGGAAAACACATAAATAAATGATGACAGTTTCTTAAACAACTTTTTTATTTTTGTGACAAAAATTCTGCAATTTTTTCTAGAGTTGGTCTGTTGTTTTTATTGCAGTCCATGTTGGTTTCATTCTTTTATGTCTATTTGTTTTTGTGTTAGATTGGTATTCATCGGTATCATTTTGTATCAAATGGACTGTATTGCTGGATCACAGGTTTGGGAGGTTCACAGTTGGAGCTGAGTTTTCAGCCTCATCAATGGTGTGATTCATTTTGAATTATGTGAAAGCTTTTTGAAAACTGAAGGTGAGGTGAGGTGAAATTGGGTTTTACGTCGTGCTTGAGAATATTTCGCTCATATGACGACGTGCATGTGTGTGTATGTGTATGTGCGGCTGCTTGTACTAGCCCAGACTTAAGCTGGTTTTATAGTGCTAGCCCACTGAGATACCATGCCGCAGTGAAGCATGAATACCCAACTCAGACACATTATACTGACTCCGAGCTGACCAGTCCTTGTTGTACCCATTAATGCCGAGCGCCAGGCAGGGACCAACAAGTACCATATTTTAACGTCTTTTGGTATGACGCGGTCGGGAATCGAACCCGCGACCTTCCGCTCTCCGGACGGACGCTCTAACCACTACACCACGGAGGCGGTGAAAACTGAAGGAGTATATTTGGAATTTCTATGTAAAGGACAAGTAACAAGACACTATAACTGTGATGTACTGAATCAACGATAACAGATCAATTATCGCCATTGAACATCATGGATTTGAAACAAATTCAGTGTGTAATGTGTCATGTATAAATGGAAGAGAATAAATCATTTTTTCAAATATTTAATTTAAACAAACTAAAAATAGAGTTGGTGTAGTTGTGATCCAACAATTTAAAAAATGGCCTTGAATTCCAAGACTTTATGCAAAGTTGCCTCTAACATGGTCACATATTGTGAATCTGGTTTTTGGCATTAGGAAGTGAGGTTGGTTTTGTGTTCTATGTATTTGGTTGTAAATTCCAAATTCTTGTAATTTTATAGATATATTTTTAATCAACATGCATCTTCATTTGCCAGACACTTGCTTAAACCTGAGATTTTTCTACAATGGCACATATAGTCATTGTTTCCAGCATTGAGCTACTTATTTCTTTGTAATATCAGTTACTGTTGTTTGTTTTGTATATATCATAACCGGCATGGATCAGAAATCATTACATATATCATATATGTGACATATATCATGATACATAAAAGCGTTAAAAACTATCAAACATGAGGGCACATATTATTAAATATGTGGACAAACTCCACACAATGAACTATTACCTCCAGTCATTAGTTGATGGTTTACATGTTTAGCTTTGATTCGTTAAGAGGGAGGGGCTATCTCAAGTGACCTGTCCAGCGATGGTCATTGGCGTGCAGACCGACATATTGTTCCCCATATGGCAACAGCGCAAACTGGCCCAGGTGTTACAGGATGCAGGTAGGATGGGGAGCCAGGTGTTACAGGATGCAGGTAGGATGGGGAGCCAGGTGTTACAGGATGCAGGTAGGATGGGGGGCCAGGTGTTACAGGATGCAGGTAGGATAGTGAGGATATCAGTACCATAGTAACTATAACAAGCACCCTGAAGAAAATTGACAAAGGTTTGCACTGTTTATAATATACAAAAGCTCAACATTGTTGGATGAGATAAAGCTGTAGAGAATAGATTTAGTTCAACTGTCCATGAAACTGAACTTTTTTCAATACTCCTGCATTTCTGCATCATTGATAAGAAAATCTACATTTTCAGGTAAATTTCCAGGCATACTTTTTCAGATGCTTATAAAGGCTTGTGTTACTTAAGGAGCACTTGCAGGGTTGGGTATTTAGTAGGGCAAATATTGTATGTCAAGACCTTGCCTGAATGGGCTTCAGACAGTGAAGCATAGTTCCTCTGAGGGTTGCGATGGATCGGTCCCACTTTCAGTCCAGGACCAGGGGAGATAACTCATATTGTCTTTTTTCTATTAGTATGTTTCCGACATAGGAGAGTGACAGATTTAGATTCTAAGAAAATAAGTCCAAATGTTGATTGTGTGGTTATGTCTGTTGTGCACGTCAGGGTTTGTGATGCTGGTATTCTAGGTGTTGTTTTTGTGACTGTCGGTGTCCTTTTGAAATAATTGTTGTGGCATTCTTATGTTAGCACTAATCTTTTCCAGGTAACGACGCCGTTACCTTTTACGAACTCAACTCCATGTACGGCCATGACACATTCCTCCTAGATCTGAACGGCGTCGGCACTGCAGTGAAGGTAAGCAACTGGAGCTGGCTTCACATTCACTACGATCACTACTACGACTATAGTAGATGGAATACATCCGCAGTAACACATTCTTTTCATAGGAACGTCATTTTGATCAGGAGGATTGAGTTACATAGATCAAAATTTTCCAATTGATGTTAATATTGTTATAAATCAGGATGTTGACTTTATTGAGGAATATATATTTAACTCATAAAAAAAACGAAAAGAGAAACATGATTTCATTTTGATATAATGCTATTGTAATGAGATATAATGCTATTGTAATGAGATATAATGCTATTGAAATGAGATATAATGCTATTGTAATGGGATATAATGCTATTGTAATGAGATGTTATTGCATTGAATGCCTTCCTGAAGTACAATGTCAAATATCCTGAAATTAAGATAATAATAACTTTAAAAGGTACCAGCTTAAAAATCAAGACAATAGTTTTTACCAATTTGCCTGTTTCATCCACTGCTTGCAGGGCTTCCTGGAGACTGACATGTCTGAGAGAGGAATATTGGCCAAGGAAGCAGTCAAGAAGAAGGTTTCCATGAAGACCAATGTCAAGCTGGATTCCCTGAACCCTAAGAATAAAAAAACAGGAATGCTATTGTCCAGAAATATTGTAATATAAGGAATATATCTTGTGATACCTTTTACCATTTACAGTGTTTCCATAAATAGTTGTGTATTGTCAGGAATAGGACTAGACCTACAAAGGGTCAGTTTTTCTTAAGAAATCTCTCCCAAAAAGCCTAGCAAGTTAATTCAGAGCTTTCCGCTTATTCCGACTTAGACATCATCAGTGATTTCACTTTTGTGGTCGGAACCATGATCTTAATATTTCCCCAAATGGAGTTAGTTGTCCTGTGAGTATGATATCAGTAGTCACAGTCCTCTGAAGCTGATGACGTCGCTTGATCTTCCTCAGTATTTATCCAGAAAGTATTTCAATGACAGCTGCTTCTTTAAGGTGGCTGTATCAGTTAACATTTGTTTGTTACTTATCCAAGTGGGCTATAGTTGGATCGCTACAGTCCGTTTGAGACAAAAAAACTCCGATGAATTGCAATCTAACACATAAACAAACAGACATAAAACAATCAAACCAACGCGGACTGCAATAAAAACAACAGACCAACTCTAGAAAAATTGCAGAATTTTTGTCACAAAAATAAAAGTTGTTTAAGAAACTGTCATCAATTATTTGTGCGTTTTTCCCAGTTTGTGACAAGGGGGCGCAGTGGCAACAGCTGGAAAAGCGTGGCACTGCTCCATTGTAACAATCTGGGAAAACGCACAAATAAATGATGACAGTTTCTTAAACAACTTTTTTATTTTTGTGACAAAAATTCTGCAATTTTTTCTAGAGTTGGTCTGTTGTTTTTATTGCAGTCCATGTTGGTTTCATTCTTTTATGTCTATTTGTTTTTGTGTTAGAGTGCTATTCATCGGTATCATTTTGTCTCAAACGGACTGTATTGCTGGATGACAGGTTTGGGAGGTTCACAGTTGGAGCTGAGTTTTCAGCCTCATCAATGGTGTGATTCATTTTGAATTATGTGAAAGCTTTTTGAAAACTGAAGGTGAGATGAGGTGAAATTGGGTTTTACGTCGTGCTTGAGAATATTTCGCTCATATGACGACGTGTATGCGTGTGTATGTGCGGCTGCTTGTACTAGCCCAGACTTAAGCTGGTTTTATAGTGCTAGCCCACTGAGATACCATGCCGCAGTGAAGCATGAATACCCCACTCAGACACATTATACTGACTCCGAGCCGACCAGTCCTTGTTGTACCCATTAATGCCAAGCGCCAGGTAGGGACCAACAAGTACCATATTTTAACGTCTTTTGGTATGACGCGGTCGGGGATCGAACCCGCGACCTTCTGCTCTCCGGGCGGACGCTCTAACCACTACACCACGAAGGCGGTGAAATTGAAGGCGCATATTTGGAATTTCTATGTAAAGGACAAGTAACAAGACACTATAACTGTGATGTACTGAATGAACTATAACAGATCAATTATCGCCATTGAACATCATGGATTTGAATCAAATTCAGTGTGTAATGTGTCATGTATTAATGGAAGAGAATAAATCATTTTTAAAATATTTAATTTAAACAAACTGCAAAATAGAGTTGGTGTAGTTGTGATCCAACAATTTTAAAAATGGCCTTGAATTCCTAAGACTTTTAACGTGGTCACATATTGTGAATCTGGTTTTGGCATTAGTAAGTGAGGTTGGTTTAGTGTTCTGTGTATTTGGTTCTAAATTCCAAATTCTTGTAATTTTATAGATATGTTTTCAATCAACATGCATCTTCATTTGCCAGATACTTGCTAAAACCTGAGATGTTTCTACAATGGCACATAAAGTCATTGTTTCAGCATTGAGCTACTTATTTCTTTGTAATATCAGTTACTGTTGTTTGTTATGTATATATCATAACCGGCATGGATCAGAAATCATTACATGTATTATATATGTGACATATATCATGATACATAAAAGCGTTAAAAACTATCAAACATGAGGGCACATATTATTAAATATGTGGACAAACTCCAGACCATGAACTATTACCTCCAGTCATTAGTTGATGGTTTACATGTTTTCAGCCATGTCATATCTACGCTAATTTCCCCGCCGGAACGGGGAACTATGTATTCAGCTGCGTCCGTCCGTACGTCCCGATTCTTGTTACCGCGATATCTCATGAACTGTTGTACCCAATGTTTTCAAATTTGATGACAGCCTGCATTGGGGGATTACGCGAACACCAGTCCATTTGGATGACCTTGACCTTATTTTCAAGGTCACCACGACACTGACCACTTTTCCAACTCTTGATACGCGATATCTCATGAAATGTTGTACCCAATGTCTCCAAATTTGGTGACAGCCTGCATTCGACCGAATGATTCAGACACCACGAAGTCGATTTTGGTGACCTTGACCTTATTTTCAAGGTCACCCCTGGGGATGACAGACTTTGACCACTTTTCAAACTCTTGTTAACACGATATCTAATGAACTATTGTCGCCAATGTCTTCAAATTTGGTGACAGCCTACACTGGAGGATTACGTAGACACCAGTCAATTTGGGTGACCGTGACCTTATCTTCAAGGTCACCACGACACAGACCACTTTTCAAACTCTTGTTAACGCAATATCTCGAGGAACTATTGTACCCAATGTCTTCAAATTTGGTGACAGCCTACACTGGGGGATTACGCAGACAACAGTCGATATTGGTGACCTTGACCTCATCTTCGAGGTCACCACGCCACTTCTGCTGACCACTTTTCAAATACTTGTTAACACGATATCTCGATGAACTGTTGTACCCAATGTCTTCAAATTTGGTGACAGCCTACACTGGGGATTACGCAGACAACACAGTCGATATTGGTGACCTTGACTTCATCTTCGAGGGTCACCACGCCACTTTGACCACTTTTTAAATTCTTGTTAACACGATATCTCATGAACTGTTGTACCCAATGTCTTCAAATTTGGTGACAGCCTACATTGGGGGATTACGTAGACACCAGTCGATTTTGGGTGACCTTGACCTTATTTTCAAGGTCAACACGCCACTTTGACCACTTTTTAAACTCTTGTTAACGCAATATCTCATGAACTGTTGTACCCAATGTTTTCAAGTATGTTGACAGCCTACATTAGGTGATTATACAGACACCACTCATTTCAGGCATCTTTTATCTGACAAAAATATAAAAAGTAGTAAATATGTAAATATTTCGTTCTTCTTTAGCGGCGGGGGACATTGCCATATTAGTGGCAAACACTCGTTTATACACTTGTAACATATATTTTAGACTAAGACCCTGATATCTAAGGACAGTAATCTAGCTAGACTACCACATATTTGTTTGTAGAACTAGTAACCCGTGAAGGTCTGGGTTAGAATTGATCTTCAGCAACCCATACTTGTCGTAAGAGGCGACTAACGAGATCGGGAGGTCAGGCTCACTGACTTGGTTGACACATCTGTTCCCAGTTGTGTAGATCGATGCTCATATTGTTGGTCCAGACTCGATTATCTTACAGACCGCCGCCATATAGCTGGAATATTTCTGAGTGCGGCGTAAAACTAAACTCACTCACTAGACCTAGTATATAACCAGAAAAAGCGAGGGGTAGCCTAGTGGTTAAAACATCCACTCATCACACCGAAGACCCGGTACAATTCCCATGGGTGTAATGAGTGAGCCCATTTCTGGTGTCCCCCGCCATATTGCTGGCATATTGCTAAAAGCAGTGTCACTCACTCACTCACTCACTCCTACATGGTGCACAGCTGGATTTTCACCATCACTCTTGCTGCTGGCGATACTTGGCAGGCTTAGCCAATAGTTAATATCAACAAATATTCTACAATGAAATACAGCGACACATACTTTAATTCTTCGAATTATATGGTCTTGCGGTACCTTCTCATGGGAAAAGGTTTTAGAATACTTCAACCCCAATCAGCCACTAGCAATCTCAATTATGATTTGCCTGTATACAAAATAAAACACTTGTACATCAAAATCTATTAATTAATTCAGTAAATTTTTAAAATCCAATTATTAAATGAACTAATACTATGAAAAGATCCTTCAAAGATGATTTGAAATATCGATCCCTTGTAATGGAAATCAATACAGTTAAGCAAGACATGCTTGATTATGATTCCTTCATCACAAAGGATCTGATTTGAGGATCATCATCTTTAATATCTGTTCATGATTATATGTCCAATGAGACACTATAAGTTGTATGCTTCTCTCGAGGGTAATACGGTCTGATGTACGCCTGTTGTAGCAGTGTTCCTTGAGCCGGTAGGCGAGGGATAACACTGCTACAAAGAGGCGTACATCAGACCCACAGTGTATGATCTCATACAGTGCAAACCGGATTTAGTGCGCTGTACGTTCGTGCTTTGGTTGACAGAAATGTCGTCTGAACAGGTATGCTCGATCAAAAAAGTTGATTTAAAGGCAAAGTACAGTATAATTTCACATGCAGATAGGCTACTCTTCAACATTAGATAACTTGGATATAACATTTACATTAATTATTAGCGAGATATCTGTATGTTAATGAAAACACAATTGTTTTCACCTCTTGCGCATCGAGCCAAATTCGACCAGCTTGTGCACTTTCGCTTTTACACACATATACCATCATGTCAGCCAGAGCGAGAGCTACCAGTATTCTATACGTAATGGATTTTACAATGTATGTGTGAATTTTCATGTTCCAAAGTTGTTTAGTTATGACGTTATCAATGAGTTCACTCGCAACAATGCAGCATCACTTTACTGGATTATAGCCGAAACCGTTTGTTTCTCTGTATGGAATAAAGCGCATATCTGAATAACGTCCTGACTGAGAGCTTATTTAAAGGTGGGCTTTATTGGCATTTTGGACACATTCAACGTATGTATATATAGTTCTAGTATATCTTCAAAGCTTGTTATCGCAAACCGTGAAGGAATACATGATATTCCTTAAAAATTCGAAGAATTTATTTACTGCAATTTTACAGAATCTTAGTCATCTGTTCATAGATTGTTGTCTCAGACACATGTCAACAAACTCGATATTGGATAATTCTAACTTTGGTGAATATCGTTATTAAATTGTAACTATAGGTTTATATAATTAGGGGATAACTGATCTGTGTTTGACGAATTGGGGACGTATACCGGTGGTTATATGGCCGCAAATTTAACGTTATATCGGCGACGCGTTTGCGGCTATAGAACCACCGGTATACGTCCCCAATTCGTCAAACACAGTACAGTTATCCCCATTCTAATTAAACTCATTTTACGCTGTTTTTTCGTGAAAGATATTTATTATTTATACCAGGTCAAAGTTGCTCTAGGTCAAAGGTTAATCATATCACTCCTCGAACTTACACCATCGCCAGAGAAAGTAGTTCCCTTTTCAAACTACACACGTTTATTATGTGCACACAGACTAAATCTGACAATGATGAATAGATCATAGTATTATAGATAAAATGGACGGAATTATGATGAAACCGCCCTCTAGTTACAGAAATGAGCGGCCCGCTGATTCCTCAACTATGGGCCATTATCAGTTCTGTTGTCAAAAGCAGGTGACGTCACGCTCCATAATGACGTCATAAATCTTGTTTCATTATCTAACAGTGTTGGGTCAACAGCCCGTTGCGAGTAAGTTGTTTGAACTTAAAACTAAATTTATGATACTGTTTTGTCTTTTTTAACACAAATTCCACCCATTTTAGCTGGATAGGGGAGTTAATTGACCAATGGCTTCTGCAAATGACAATGTCCTGCAAAACAGCGTTACCCCAATAGTGTAGGGATGCATTCAAAGGTTTTGGTGAATCGGTTTTCAAATTGCGACCGTATATGCTGATTAAACGGTCGGAAATTTATAGCATTGACCAATCAGAACTCGTGTTACATACTTAGTTGAATTAGAATTGTCATTATCATGATTATGATGTGATGCAAATGTGTTTGTTTTCGTTATTATTCATATGTATAAAGTGTGATGTATTGTTTCATTGTGCAACAAGAAGCCTGAGTTTATCTATGCCGTGTAGGAGTTTTTCGATGGCACAGATTATCTGGAACATGCTGATTTTGAGAGACCTTATTACGAAAGCATATTTGGCCTGTCTCCAATCACCAGTTACAGCTTTCAGAAATTTGTCAAGTGCAAAAGGTTTTCCAACTTTGAGTTCTCACGTGACCACTGCAAATCCTAATGGCGCCATGAATCAACGACTAGAACTACTCTTTTTTTTGTTCATCTGAACATTCGGTAACCTGTTCTAATCCACGAATTTCCTATCAATTCACAAATTCTTCACAACATTTCAAAATACCAGTTTCGTGTGATAGTTTCCGATGAGAGTCAGATGTTCCTCAAACCCCCATAAATCAACATCCCCTAACTTTCCACCCGTACAGGATTTGATTTTGATTCCAGTAATACACATTTTGTAAGTGTTAACTTGTTCTGGGTCACTTTCAGCAATCATGTCCAGCATTTGCATAATGCAAGCAGGTACAAGTTGGTTGTCTTCAAGAGGAC